GGAAGGTGAGGAGGAGGACAGACAAGGGGAGACCGGCTTTTTTACGGCAACATACTGGTCGGCCATACCGAGTGCCGTGGAGGAAGACGAAGTCGCCGCGGAGGAGCGGTTGATAGAGAAAGGAGGAGAAGAAGAAGAAGAAGAAGAAGAAGAAGAAGAAGAAACGGTAGAAGAAGATGAAGAAGAAGAGGATGAGGACGAGGAACAAGGACACAGCGGCCAATAAAACTGCAGTGCCCCTCGAAGGTGCATCGAAGGCGCCAGGGCAGTCTGGACCTCCCTTATTAGCTCCCCTCTTCGACTTTTACCGTCCACCTAAGGTCCCCGCTAGGGCCTTTTGTTTTATCCCGTGGTGTGAATATCGCACCGTTTTACGGCGACCAGATTAGACCTGCCTTTGTGATTTCCGACACGGGAAGCCTCCACCATAGCCCTCGACGACTTTCACGATGATACACGAATCGTCCAAACGATTCTTTGGGAAAATCTTGGAAAAATCTTGCTTCATCGTTTCCATCACGATTCGCGGAGTAGCACTGGCTTTGGTCGAGAACTCCGTCACGTCCCGTGGCTAGCTTCTCGATTTCCCTGCGCGTTTCGCCCGGAATTAGGTAGTTGAAATGTTTGCTGCCTCGTTAGGCCGACGGGCCTGCGAACGGACGCCTCTCGCAGCGAGGAGGAGAGTAACGAATCACGGGGAGCTGGCAATGGAAGGAAAGATAAGGGAAGTGGAAGGCCTTACCTAACTGGGTCGAGGGTGAAACAAAGAAAGAACGGTGAAAGAGGGACCGGGTGAGATGAACGAGTAGTAAAGAAGGTGGATGGTTTGCTGCCTTATTAAGCGGTCTTATCGCTAGAGACAGCCAGCCCCGACACGGCCGTTTAACTTTTACTCGACCTGCAAACAAGTAGTGGACACACTGGCCAGGGAGATAGGACTCGCCGCGTTACCCTCGCCTGCCTCCACGAACCTTCTGCCTTATCACGCTTGAAAAACTTGACGGCTGTAAACACGAAACGACGCTGCAACTGGCCCCCAGATACTCCCCGCGCCGAGATTTACAATGCATCTTTAAGCGGCGTTAACTACGCAGCGGGATATTTAAGCGTTACTTAACAGAAGCACTCGCCGATGTACCATTGCCGAGCGTGTGGTGTTCGCGGCCGCTATAAAATATCCTCCCTTGCTCCTGCTGGCCACCATCGCGCGATGCCCTCCGCGTATAAGGTATGATCGATTCGCGATCAAATTTCGAGCAATTCTAAGGGGATGAGAATAGAGGGCTTGGTTCACCCTTTCGCTTCGGCAGTTCCGTCCGTCCAAGTACCCTCACTGAACGAAAGCTCGCGCCAGAAATCATGCACAGTGCACAGTGCGATTTCTGTGTATTTCTCCACGTTTTCCTAAGTCTTAAACAACAACTGTAGCAAAAATCGGATTAATAAGTCGAAACGAACTTTTGATTCTGATTATGTCTTATATTTCTTGGCTGTTCAAAATGAACGGAGGCTCGAAGCTCTTCTATGATGCATGGTGCAGACGACTGTGATGATGGACTGTCAAAAAGTGTCGTCGAATCCATCAGCTAGGTTTTTACAGACCCTATGACGATCCATTGCGTTACTCGACCCTGTTTCGAGAATTGATAAGCTGAATGGTTCCTCGAAGCAAAGACAGATCTCGATGCAGGGTAACGACATTCGAATAAAGATTCCTCTCACACAACTGTGCCGAATAAAACAGATTGCACTTGTAAATGCATCATTTGGATGCCGGATATATGGGTGCCCGTACCCTGGAGTCATCTCGTAGATACCGCCTATACGCGGCGCTCTAAGCGAAAGGGTTAACCAAGGTTTGCACTCGACGATATTTTCGTTACAAGAAAATAGTGATTCGAAGACTTTCTGCCGCAAAGTCGACGATATTTCTAAAACGGTAAATACAAAATCGTATGCAAATTAAGACGTGGAATTACTTTACTTATATTAGATATTCCACGCATCGTTGGGTACTTATAAGTTCGATATATTAATTAACATCCATCTTTAGAATCTGGTTAAATGGCGACTGAGAGGTGCCCCTCGAGTGCATAAAATTTCGAAGATCGGTATTAATTAAGGTATCGGTATCAAATAATTCTACGTGTCAATTATCACACTATTCCTTATTTACTGCTCAACAAAATATCGCCAACTTTATATAGAAACTCTTTCCTCGCCAAAAAATCGTCGAGTGCAAAGGGTTAAACGATTACGGCCAAGACGATAATTCCAAAGAATTCGTGCTTGATCTTCGAACGTTCTTCGAATATTCCGTTCCTCCACTTTCACGCGAGTCCTCGCCATTTGCGGTCCCAGGGAACTCGCTCGCGTTTAGTTCCTCTTGGTTCCTCGTTCTTCCGGAGATCCCAGTGGCGCGAGAGCCTAGTATTCTCGGTGGATCGTGGTGGCTGGAGTGCGTACCCGAGCTTCCTCGCGTCTCGGCGCAGCCGGCAAAATATTTGCCTCGCAAACAGGGAGACATCGAACGGGCGCGGCTCGGTTTTGCGGCGGCAGGTAAACAAAGGTGAAACGCGCTCGCAAAGGTGAAACGGGATTAAACGGGGTTATTGTGCGGTCTGGAGAGGAGAATCGTGGCACGAGACGAGTTTTCTGGAAAAGCGCGGGCATTATGTCGGCGACTGTTCGTCGACTGTTGGTCGACGGGGCGTGATCGGCAGGTCACTAGGTTTACGCAGCGTAATAAATCATTCCAAGGGGCCCGCTCTCTGTTTCTTCCCCCGAAACGGACCCGGGTACACTCTCAGGTACCCGAATCCTCGGAAGGATCCTTATCTCCCAAGGACCTCGTCGACCTGTCAGCTAATCCTATTAGCGGCACTGAATCTTGCGTTGCCACGCAACCGCTATTTTTCCACTCTCTCTCTTTCTCCCTCTCTCCCCCCGTTTCTCATTCTTTGGCCAACTGTCGCGTGTTTCTTCAACGTTCCACGATCGCTTCCGTCCACGACCTCGCCGCTATTTTCCCCGTCTTATAAATCGCCGCGTATCTCCTCTCCGGAGTCCGCGAAGCGTTTCTCGCACGATAAACCGCCGATACGAATTCTGGCGTGCGAGAGGAAGGCTGTCGGAACGCTTCACGCGTCCCCGTGCGAGAGTGTACGTGGCAGGCCGCCTAGCAAATTGCTCGAGGCAACGTCGCGGAAAATCGTCCGCCACTCGGGCCGCATTGACACGAATAAGACACATGGCCGACCAAGCATGATGCGAGGAAAACGCGACCATTTGCACCACCATTTCCCGACCGTTCTCTCCGCAGCGCCATCTTGGCATCCTCGAGCGCGTTCCCCGAGTCCGAACATTCTAATTTGCCGGATAAATACTTCTTCGCTGGGAACAGCTTTGACCACTGTCTCTAATAACCCGTGAAATTATGCTAAATGCCATGGCAACCGAACGATCCCCGTGGCTAATCCTTCCAACGACGACCACGACGATGATGGGTCATGTCCGTGAAATCTCGCCGTGAAACGCTCGCTTTTCCCTTGGAAATATCCGACCAGATTTAGAGCGGAGAGATTTACTCGCTGCTGGAAATAATTGCGGCGATCGGGTGACTTTTTCCTACGCGAGAAGTCGCTCCATCGGCTCGTGAAAACGCGTCCCGTCGCGTAATCTACGCAATTTTAGGCTAAGCTAGCGGAGACTTGGGGAAATTGCGTCGTTGTTCCACACAGAGGTCTCGCGAAATTAGGCAGCCGTCACGCTCGTTTTAGGGAGCAGATCGTAACGCGAAAATAACTCGCGATGACTTGGGACGCCATTAATCTCTGTTGGAAAGATTCGACGAGCGAGATTCCCGCGGGAAATTCGAAAAAAAACCACCTGCTATTTACCGAATGCTCTATACGCGAGGCAAGAAACTCGTTTCCTAAATGAAATAGTACGCTGCGAGGCGAGTGATAGCGATCTAATGAATGCCGTTCGTACACCTTCTATTGTTTTATTGTTTCATTCATACGTGTTTCCAGATGCTCTATCTTCGTTCCCTCGCCGACTCCTCTCGATCGGGCACCCACGGTTAATAGTCTCCGCGAGACTTCCATTTTTCTTCGCGGTAGGAATCGATTCGATTGGGGTGATTAAAGAAATTTTCCGCGATTGATTGGACGTGTGCAGGCCCCGAAGTTGACGAATCCTCGGGACGAACGGAGGAAGGAATTACTCGTCACGCGTGGTCGTCGGAAGATTGCTGCTGTTAGGGTGCAACTGCCTGGCAGAGGTGTCGCGTCGCGTAGCGCGAAACTGGACGAGGGTGTGCTCGGAAACTGGAAGGTTTGGACGGTGGTGTGACGGTAGCGGGTAACAAAGTTGCGAGCTCGGGAAGCGTGGAAACAGGCGGCACGACGCATCGTCGCGGTGCTCGGCGATTTCACGAGTCGGACAATGGCGCGATATAAGCCGGAAGAAGGTGGCTAGTCGGAGGATAAGGAAAGATAGAGCGTGGGTGGGCGAGGGTGAGATGGGGTGGGCAAAGAGGGTTGGGAGAAAGCGCGAGAGAGGCCGGGAGATTTATTTAAGTCCCTGGCCGTCGGGTTGACAAGAGTAGACTCGCGTAAACATACTCGTTTCTCCTTGTTCCGCCGTGGCCGTTTGTCGAGCCGCAGCGGGGAAACGGCGGCGGGATCGTTTCACGGTAGTTTCTCGCGGGTGGGGCAGAAGGCGTCGTCGCGCTCGTGGGCACGTTCGATTCGAAAGGACGCCCGCGCGCGAAACGGCCGGCCAATGGGCGGCCACGTACCGGCCCACGTGACACGCCCGTAGGGTAGTGCGAGGCGGCGCGATTGGACGGTTCCGTAAGAACCACGTCCCACGCGGCGGTGGTGGGGGCGGCCGTTGCTTTCGGTTTTCCTCGCCAGAGGGGGAACTGGGACGGAGCGGAGTGGAAGGCCGCTGAAGTGGTGTGAGTGGTGGCGAGTCAGTCGCAGACTGGAGTGCCCTGTGAGAGCAGGGGACGGACCGAACGAACGAACGAACTCTCTATAACTAATCGCTCGTGACGACGCTTCGTCGTCTGTCCGAATGTCCGTCCCATCGCCCGACGCGCCGCTGCTACGACAACGTTCTTCTATTCCTATTCTCTTTTTCTCGCGGTGACGTGACCCGAGCTGTGACGTGTCGCGCGCCGTTCCACCCGGTGAGAACGTATCCCGCGTTTGCTAGTGCGGATTTCCACCTCGAATCGTGCTCGCGGTATCCTCATCCTCCTTCACGTTCTCTCGTTCTCGTGCCTTCGGCTCCGTGTCCGGTCGAGCCTGTGGACACGCTCGCAACTCGTTGGATCCTCGAGTGCCCGTCGGCGGTTCGAGCTGGCACGTCCTCCTCAGCGAACCACGGGAAACGCCACAAGCCCCGACATGTGCTCGCAGCTCGGATTCCTCGGTCAGCACTCAAAGACACCCTGATGGCAATCACCGTTCGCGAGATATCGCGATCGCTCGCCGCCACTCCACCCGCTGCTATTGCGTTCGTGTCGTCCACGGCGTCGCCGAAAGTAGTACTGACTTAGTGAGAGAGTGTAGTGCGTGCAGGTGCGGTTGTGACCTAATTCTCCGTTAGCCGCGAGAGACATCGAGAAAGAAACACAGAGAGAACTGATCATCGACGTCCGTCGAAACCGGCCGAGATGTCAGCCTACGCGCAGTTCGGATACTCGTATCCGTCGGCGTCCCAGGTGAGTCGAGTAAATTCCTTCCTTCCGATCTCCACCATCTTCTTCGCGCCAGTGTCGCTCGACGTGTCTACCCTATCGCCCGTCTATCCACGCGATCGCGTCGTCCACCAAACTGCGTCGCAATTTCTGCCCCAATTTCCACCGTCTTTTTCATCCTGTCTTTTCACCGTGATTTCCGCGTATGCCACCAGTCTTTCCACGCGTCGTTGGCCAACGTTTTCCTAGAGATAGAAAGTGTCGTTCGCGATCGCCACGCCAGATGACATCGTTCGAAACTTCGTCGCGCAGTGTTCCGCGTGCAGCGCGTTTTCGAGAAAAATCTACGACGGTTAATAATTAACCGTCGCTGCGGCAGGGGCGACGCTATGCGTAACGGGTTCCGTTCCATTGTCTGCAAAATTGTAGCTCAATTATTCGTCTAATGATGGTCCTTTATCAGGTAGCAATTTCAGAATCATCGCTAATCACCGCCAACGATCGTTTCAGTTCCTACTTTTTTTTCGCGAAAGCGAACGCATTGTGAGACGGACAACCCGTAATTAAACGCTACTCTCTTATTAGACGCTGCTTTTTGATATCTCGTACACGGCTTCTAATTTTTCGTAGACGCGTACACGGTGACTGGCGAGAGCAACAAAGTTGCTGATCCATCACGCACACGTGTTGCCGTTAATTTGCCCATTCAACATCTGGGAAACTCGTGTTTTGATCCGTGTACTTCCCGATAATTAACCCGTAAACCGATAGGGCCGTTAAAATTCCAGTGTCCGATGGAAATATCGAAAATCGTTCTCGCGAGTTTCCCGATGATCCAGTGTAAAATTTTACAGGGCAAAGTACGACGGGCGTAAGTACACCTGTTCCACCGTAAATGTGTACCGACGGCCGTCGCTCAGAGTTACGACGCCTCGTTGAACTCCTGGACAAAAGTACTTGGCGTAGGTAGCAGCAGAGTTAACAACCGATTTGTATCGGTATCCGTAACGAAAATTGAATTCTCCTAAAGCGTTACTGGATCCTAATTGCATTCCGCCGATTACGCCATTGCATTGCTACAAGCAGTGCCGTGCTCTATAGTTACCCAGCGCGCTGTCGCGCACGGAGAGGTTAGCTCGGTAGGTTGTAAAATCACGGACAGCCGTGTCAATTGACACCCGGCAATTAGTAAATAACGGGGATTATCGTGTCTGAAAAAATTCGACGCCAATGGAGCGGATAAGTGTCCTTGCTAGTTTGTACCCCGACATAGGATTATCTTCGATCCCCTTAATATCTAAATGCCGGGATAACAGTTTTTACCAAAAGATATATTCCAAGCGCGTATATACTCTCGGCCGTAGGTATAGGTTAGATTTATGGCACTCCGAACAGGCGAGTGAAATTAATTACGGAACCATTCGAATTTCCGTGGCCATCGCGTGAACAGGCATTTCGACTATTCTCGTCCAATTTCCACTCTGTAATAGCGTCTAATTCGCGTATTAAATCTCGAAACTAACCTGAAAGGGGATCGAATCGAAGTAACCCACGCGAGTACACGATTTACGGATATTCCTTTATTTTCGATTCGATCATTTCGTATATCGTTACACGGGAATGTTGGCATGGTATATATATTACGAGACACGAGCGTTCACGCTATACTCGTACCAAACTATACCTATTCTTACGATACTATTTCTCGTTCGCTTCCGTACCAAAACTAATCGAACGTTGAGAATTCGAACGCAACGGTTTTTCTCTGCTTCGAGGGGGGAAGCACGTCTCGTTCTGGTGACGCGTAAATTCGTTAGTCGATCGTATAGAGAGAATCGAGAAAATTAAGTTTCGATTTACGATCGGTGGACAATCGTCGCGGAGGCTCGTTGGAGAGGGAAGGGGGTGGCGTTGAAGTGGACGCAGGGGCGCAGGCGCGTAATCTCGCGTTGCCGAAAAAAGGAAGGGGCTGAAAGAAAATAACATCGGACGAAAACGACGCACTTACGCGCAGGTGCAGCGGCGAGGCTAGATAATAATACGGGTAGCCCCGTGTACCCGCATGGGCTCGCGAGAAAGGTGCGAGTTGCATCGGTCGGAGAGAGAGTCCGAGAGTCGAGTCTCTCTCATTGTTCCTTTTAACCGTGGGGCGCGCGCGCGCGCTCTCTCCTGCGCTCAAAGCTCGGTCTTTCCTTCGTTTTGATTAACCCGATGATAAAGGGGACGTGTCCCTTTTGTTCCTTTAGCGGCGGTTGAACCACGCGCGCTCGCGCGCCAACTTTAGGCCAAGTGGGCGCCATTAAAAGGCGCATTGAAATCGTCATTTCGCCGCGAGAGGCCGCCACTCTTGTTTGTCGTATCGTCGCGGTATATTATTGGAATTGTATTCGTAGCGGAGGTAGATCGGTTTCTTCGATCGTTTATTTCACTCGCATCCATGCGCCTATGTATATACGTCTGTATGCACGAATGTTTTATTCTATATTTATGAGAAGATTAATTCGTCGAGCCGGCGGCCTCTGGAAGTCGGCAATTAGCGTAGATTTTTGAAGTACCCTCTCGGTAAATCAGTTAATTACGCTCCTCTATTTAAAGAGATGGAAAGTTCATGAATAACTACTTAACCAACCGCGCTGGCTAGAACTCACGGCCTCCTATTTCGCTCGTTGTACGTAGCGCCTCGCCACGATTTCTATGAGATATAATTTTCTATATTCTACTCATTTCCGTTACTCGAAGCATCCACCGTGCGCGATACACTGACAAGGGCGAACCTTTAAATTTAGTACCTGGAAGTGGCGTAAGTCCGTCATCGGTACTCTCGAATGCCGATACGTGCCGCGATATGGAAGAACGATAATTGGCCGGTTATCTTCTCTCGTAACCGCGCGTGTTCCCTATCTTAACGTATTCTCGATCGACGAATTACCGGACGTTTACATGCGCGCAGGTTGCAACGACGCGCGGCTCGCAGCCGCTGCTGGGAGTCAGCGAAGATGAAAAAACAGGCCGGCCTTAATTGCTACCGGTGGAATAGTCGAAACGCTTCGTCTCTTCGGGCTTCTAAATAAACGTTACACGAAGCCCGGCGCATGCTTTACGATCGCGTCGCCGATTCCCGTCGCGCAGGATAATAAATATTTTACGCGGATCATTTCTACGGAAATGCGAGTAACGATAATTGCAGTTTATAGCCTACTTACGTGAATTTATAATACTCGATGGTCGCGGCTACGCCGGGCCGAATCGTAAAATTCGCGATTACAGATTAGGTAGTTAATATATTTACTGCCACCAGGGATTCCAGTAGTGATACCACCGCCGCTTGTTCCCTTCGTTTTCTCTTTGTTGTACACTTCCACCGGTGCACCCCACTCGCCTTACCAACCCCCACCACTTTTTCTTTTCCCTTCTTTTTCTTCTTTTCTTCGCGTTGACATTATTGCGCGTTAAACGACAGAGGCGTTTAATTTTTCCTCGGCGCAGGGGGATTTAAGAGAGAAAAGAGAAAAGGAGTTTACGCTTATCGTTGGCCGATTGAAAGAACGCCGTATAATGGCGCCTTTAATTAAGCAAACCCGATGGATATTGCCACGAGCGCGTTATGTACTGTTTTATGAAGTCCCCCGTCTCTCTCTCTACTCGCTCGGGCGGCCGCGCGCGCGCAAGCGCGAGTCGCGCGTGTGTTTTCGTGTGCCGTTTAACGTAAAAAATTCGAACGCAGCGTTGAACGGCGGTGATTAATCTCGATGCGGTTCCCGCGCGGCCATTTAGCGTGCACGCTATGTACGCACCGCGTCTCGATTCAATTTTCCAACATTTTCAGCGTTACGTGCTAATGAAATTCTCGCCGTTGGAATGCGTTCGATTCGTTTTATGGATGGCCGTGTAATTAACGGGAAAGTTATGTCGAAGTTTATGTTCGAAAACTTTACAGGCCGCTAATAACGTACGTTCCGAAAGATTTACACTTCGGAGTCTCTGTTTCCAAGTTTTTCCACCAATCGTTATCTTGCAAACTTATCCCCTAATTTCTTAGTTAACGTGTTCGTTCGCGGATTTTCTCTCGGGATCAGAAGGTAAACGAGCTCGGTGCACGCTAATGATTATTTAGCGGAAGGGGTAAAAAGGAAAAATATGCCGGATAATAAATAAACCGATCATCGCGAATTCGAGACAGGCTGCTTTATAATCTGCCAACCAGGCCCATAAGGGTGGGCAAGGTGTTAACACGAATCTAACTAATACGATGTTAACGATATGCTGGCGTGCACCTGTGAAACGCGTCGCATAAGCGGTACATTTACGTTGGATGCGTCTGTAGCTCGGGTTACGAGTTATATACGCCCCGCCTAATGATATTAATTAATTCACCGTCGAAGGAGTAACGATAATTGTTATGAAACGCCTTGGCGATGGTAGCCGCTGTTGCGAGAGTCGTTAACGAATCAAGAATGTAACTCGCGTTTAGCAGAAAAATCGCGTGGCGGCGACGCAAGCGCCACTAATGGCGTGTTTAGTTTCGCCTATTTCGCGCGAACGTGGTCGCGTCGCTCGTGTCGACCCGAAACGAACAGTTACCGACGCGAGACAGAGAGAAAAAGGCAGGTTGGCAGCAGTGGGGAGAAAGGTTGAGGGCGCACGGTTCGCAGACACGGTTTAAGAATTCGTTTGTTAACGCGTAATGAGAAGCGGCAATTGGCCGTGGCTCGTTAAGTTCACCAACAACGCATCGATCGCAATTCTTCCGTTATTTGTCAGCGGCTGTAAAACACGTCGGACAGGTCGACTTTCTACGCGGGAACATCTGTTGGCCGATTATGTGCGGCCGCGTAACGACGGTAATTACTTTTTCGTTCGGCGAATAATTAGTAACAAAGTTATTAGTACCACTGTTCTTACGGTGCTGCTTGTTAACAAGTCACCGATGAGCGCGCATTAATTAAACCGTTGAACGAAAACGGAACGACGTTCCACCGTGGCGAAAAGCGTATCTCCCCTTTTCTCGCGTACACGCGTGTATA